TGGGGGAGGGGCGGGCGGTTTAATATACAATGTAGTTTGTATCACTAGTCTTTTGCCAATATCTTTCATGCGTCAAAGGCAGGACTAGGTACATGTATTTAGACATGTATTTAGACCAGAAAAAGTAGAGATCAAAGTGATAAAACTACGTAAGTGACTGATCTCTATCTTATTGTTGATGGAAAAGTGAAACATTCCGTTCATAACTTTAAACAAATATTTAATAAAGCATCAATAGTTTTGTGTTATTGTTTTAAAGGGTGAAAGGGGGGGTGTGCATTTTTTAAACCAAAAAATCATTATATCTGCAGTTACGCCTTTCTTCTATTGGACGGCAGAGTTAATGCTAAAATAAAAACAAATACAAAAAGAAAAAAAAAACGTGTAACTGGACACCACGTGATTATTATGCATGGAGTAGGCGAGTATTTTATCCCTGGCTCGTTACGTATTCAATCAGCCTCGTCAAAACGCTGAGCTGTACAGACGTGAACCCCGTGCCTCTAGCATAGCCACCTCACCACAGGTAGGAACAGAAGAGATAAAAATCAGGCCCCGGCTTAACCCCTTCACTGCCACGTAGACGTATGTGCCTGAATATAATTTTCCAAACATAAGTTTTTGCAGTATATTTTTCTACTGGGTTATGAAAGATATTGAAGAAGATATAACTGCACATTGTACAATTGCTTATTATGAATGAGGGAAAGTATTGTATTCTAGGGCTTTACGACTCTCTTGAAAGAGTAATTCAGATCTTCTTGTCTGTACAACGTAGATGGAGACGCCTCGCAGCACTGTAGTGAAAGGGTTAATGAACACTGCCAAGAACAGTGCTGCTGCAGGATGACAATGCACACATATAAACGATCTACGAAAAAAATCAAAAGGAGAAAATCTCCCCTCCACCCCCTTTCCTCCCTCCTGGCTGCAGGATGACAATGCACATTATTCAATGATCTACATGTACAAGAAAAAATCAAAAAGATACCTCCCCTTCCCTCATCCAACCCCAATCTTTTTTATTTGCTGCAGGGTGACAATGCACATAATTTAATGATCTACGAGTACAAGAAGAAATCAAAAAGATATCACCCCCCCCTCCCCCTTTTTTGCGGCAGGATGACAATGCACACTTTTAATGATCTACAAAAACAATCAAAATTACCCTCCCCCCCTCCCCATCCCTCTTATTTTGGGCTGAGGGATGGCAATGCATACCTAAAAGACCTATGAGAAGAATGAAAAAGAGAACCCCCCTCCCCTCTTTGCAAAGAAATTTTCTCCATGGGACATCAATATGACATTTCACATTGTGAATCGTTTCCTCTTTGATATTATACCCGTAAGCCGAAGCTTTGCTCGCATCTGTTATTTGCATCATTGATCATGGTATAGCCTACATTGCAAAATTGCAGCATGTTATGCAACATCATACAAATGAGTCACAACCTGGAGACACATATTGCGTATTAATGTAGGCTATCTCAGCAGTATCTTATCATATCTTTCTTATCTATTCGACCGTTTCTCGTACAATTTTCTTCCGACTTATCTAATCTCAATTATCTTATCTTATTTATACACTTTTTCGTTGAAATTTTAAGACAATAATAATAACAAAAATAAAAATTATGATAATTTGAAAAACAATTCATTCGACTAAAGTTTAAAAATTTAATAATTACCATTATTTATTGGACCATCACCACTAAAAATAGTATAACAATTATCGTTATTATTATTATTAGCCTACCTGACTCTGGGCTCAGAGGAGCCATGACTAGGCTGACCGTCTCATTTGACCGCCGGCGGTTCTTGGTCCGCTGGTGCTGGGAGACATTGCTGACCGCTACAGCATCGAGAGGAGGGGCTTCCAGGGGGTTCGAGAACGCCCTTCCGTCGTCGTAACGGTCGCCATGGTAACCGAACACGTTGAAGACGGACTTGCCATCCAGGCCAGTGGGCGGCGGGAGCTCCTGACTAGACATCACTCAGTCGGGCAGACGTCACTCACGACTCACAGCTGAAGGGGCAACGAAATGACAATACACTTTTTGTTTTTTTTAAAGTAGAGGGTTTTACGGCGCTCGCAACTGCATAGGCGCCAAGGGATGGGTGTCAACAGAGAAGTCCTTACAGGGAATCAGACTTACTTTGCTCACCTCTCTAGCTTCAACAGCACAATGTCTGCTTCGACTATCAAGGCACCCCGGAAATAGCGGGTCACAAGAATGAGACAAACATACAAAAGAATTAGAGGTAAATGACAATAGTAAGGATTAGGAAAGAAAAAGCAGCAGTTCCCAGTTGCAGATCAGGCACAGTTATGAGCGTGACATGATAAATCAGCCCATTTACAATTCTACTGTGCTAGAACGAGGACATTATAATAAGCAAAACTGTACAGGTTTAATGTCGCTTGCAACACTGCAAGGTTACTTTAAGAGGCAAGACGACCGGATTTAACGTGGAGCTCCGATGTTATGTGAAATGGTACAAGTTTTACGCCCCTCGCAACACTGTGAAGCTATTTCAGAAGTAGGACATCCGAATTCGATGTGGATCTCCGATATAATCTGAAATTGTACAAGTTAAACGCCCCTTGCGACATTGTACGGGGACACCCGTAGCGTATTTAACGTCCTCCTCCAATAGAATCAAGAAAATGGGAACATTACGTGTAAAGTAAAGCGCATTTCCCAAAAGAACACAACGTCACGCCCATCTGGCCTCGAATCACCGAACCCCCATTCTCACGATTACTTTACGAGCCCAGCAGCCTAACTACTAGACTACTGACGTCATCATACACTATACATTGTATATTATGGTTTTCCAAAAAACACGCAACAGTGCGCAGAATACAGTTTAACATTGCCACACAATAGCCGGAAAACACGTGTACGTACTGCAGCCTGGGGAAACCTGTGGGAGGCAGACTCTCACGTTCTTGTTCTAAAAGGACAAAGCAGTACGACAGCCATTTCTTTCCCCGGCGCTTTGCAGTTGAAATCTTCCGAAGACCTCAACAGCTATTTGACAAATGTATGCATACTTTTGGAAAGGAACGACGTAATAAGCACACAGCAGGGGAAAGCAGGGTCTGAAAGGATGCAAGTTTATACATGGGCAAAACACGTAAAGGGACACAACATTCTAGATTGGAAAGTAGAGAAAACAAGATTTCAAGCCGTAACAGTTAACATTTGCTTATCCCTAAATGGAAAACCACCTCAGATCGCAAAGATTTAATAAGTTTCTTTTCTAGGAGGGGGATGGGTGGGGAAAGGGAACAGAAGACATGCTTTTATTCATTTCCAAATCTACCTCGTCAAGACGCTTCAAGAACAATATTCTCGGTTTAGTAACACATTACTGTTGCCTGACATTTTATTTAACTTTCAGAAAAAGAAAACAGTCGGAAAGTTGTACAAATATATGATCAAAGTTATACACATTTTAAAAAACAAAGTGTTCTTGTTCTAAACTGTATGTTTTCAAAGACTTGTCAAAAGCAAAAAAACAAAAAAAGAAAAAAAAAGAAAAAAGGGTTTTTTCTTAAAGCAGGCATCTACATGCATAGGCCTTCTAAGATAAATACACAAATTCGAGTTTCTGAATTGTGTTTGATGATTTGAAATGCACAACAACATTACCTTAAGGCTGTCGAGCGCACATAATGTGTCGTTAAAAGTTAAGTGTACTTACATTCAATATTCTAGGCTGAATTGATTGTGCTGATGCTGTCAAGTGTAATCTCAAATAGAAATGTTTTTGATAAAACAACGATAAAAGGACATGAGAGCTAAACAGATGTTCCACTGGCAACATCAAAGATATTATATCTTATCAGCATCTTTATTTGTTCTTTTTAACTTTCTGTTTCTCGGGGTGCAAAAACTAAGAAACAGAAATTACGACGAACCACTAAAAATAAATCTTTGATCATACTACGAAAGTCAAAATGTTTCTTCACCACCCTCCCCCCCCTCCCTCCTTCAATTTAACTTTAAAAAAATTCTTAATTCTGATTTCTGCAAATGAAAAAATATTTCGCTAATTTTGTCGGAAAAAGAGAGACAAAACTGCTTTGAAAGTAAACCAGAATAAAGTGAGAATTTCATAGAGCAATTACTATCCAATAAGAATATGGGCTATTTGAAACAATCTACAACAATATTTATCATCATCATCGTCGTCGTTATCATCATCATCATCAGCAGCAGCAGCAGAAGCATTATAGCTATCATTACTATTATCATAGATTAATATCATCATTGTTATAATCATTATCATTGATATTATCATCATGTTTTATTACATTATATTATATTAAATTACATTATATTATATTATATCATTATATTATATTATATCATTATATTATATTATATTATATTATATTATATTATATTATATTATATTATTATATTATATTATACTATATTACATTATATTAGTATTTTATACTATATCATATTATATTATATCAGATTATATTATACTACATGTGTATATATTATTTATATTATATTATATTATATTATATTATATTATATTATATTATATTATATTATATTATATTATATTATATATATATACCATATTATGAAAATATGACATCACATCACATCACACCACATTATATTATATTATATTATATTATATTATATTATATTATATTATATTATATTATATTATATTATATTATAATATAATATATTATATCATAATATTTAAAATATACATTGAAGAGTCTCTTCCTGAAAAGAAAAAATTGATATCCTATATAATAAATTCAGGAGAAAAAATGGATTTCTTGCCTTTTCCAACATGGAGGGAGCTATGTTTCGGTGATGTGAAGTCAAACATGTGTTCAGTGAATTTGGTTCTGAAACACTGGGGTTGCAGTGAGTGCAATCATTGCAACCCTAGCCTTGATGATGTTTTGATGACATGCAATTACAATAAAGAGTAGGCTACAATAACTCTTTTGCCCATGAAAAAATAAAACCATACTTAAAACAAAAAAGTCATATATATATATTGTTGACAGGCCACACAATGTAATGTTTTGAATGTTCAATGTACAGGACCCTCAGTCTACAGAACAGCACGAAAAAGAGCAAATCAGAAAGTGTATATTTGACAGTAAAACGTAAAAATGCAGTGGGAAGACCATCCCTTCCCAAAAGAGATTTTTGACATGATATAGAACAGTAGCACCCCATTGGCATTGTGCCACCTGTAGGTGGGACAGGAGCACGCTACTTGCCAACTTACACCGACACTTCCCTTGTTCGCATAAGCTTAGGTATTAGAAAAAAATAGTAAAATTATTTTTGTCAAATAAAGACTTTCTTATCAGCAGTACACTGGGCAATCATGTAAAGCAAATTTGAACAGCAGGCAAAAGGTCAAAAGCTCATCTCCCTGCATGGCAAAACAGAACCTGTGCAGTCAGGCACACCTCCATATATTTTTTTCTAAACTTTATCTCTTGCAGGAGCACAGAGAATTACCTCACCAATTTTCCAGTTGTTAAACACAAGTGTGCACATTTGTGAATGCACATTTAAGTGAGTGAACAAAAATCCTATCATTACTACTCAGATATATTTTGGTAGTTAAGGGTTCTTGAGTGATCTACTTCTTTTTTTCTTTTTTTTTGACAGTTACTTTCTTTTTATCTGTCTCTTTACTAAATGTATTATTATCTTGTACACACACTGTAAACTACAACTCCAGAAACAAACAAAAATTTAATGTTTGAAAGGTGGAAATGATTTTAATAAAAAGCACTACTAAAGTCTTTTAAAGACCACCTTAAAAACACTTATCTTAACCTTACATTGATGTGTCACAAGCATTCCTTAGGTTCATCACTTAATAAAGAAGAGTGAATTTCCCCTACAAGAAAGGTAAGACCAGAAGCTCAAATGTAAGGGAACAGATTAAAAGTAAAACAGGGAAAGCAATCTATCTCAGATGACTCTAAAATGAAAAGTTGACAACAGTTGTTTTGTGTGGGGTTTTTTTTTTTGGGGGGGGGGTTGTTTTGAAAGAAACTGTCTTCTAATTTTAATACAAAGAAAAATTATCTACTTATTGATAACCGTATTTCTGAGTTTCCTGATAATACTTTCCCATTACTTAGGAAAACTAATGTTTGCGACAGCTGATAGCCAAAAGGCAAAAGAAATTTACATTCAAATTCTTACCTCTATAGGTGCAGTGAGAGATAAACACAGCGACAGAAACAAGGTCTACAGTAATACAAACAAGGTACACTGTAGCTTACATAATAATTCATTGATCTATTTATATTTATGCCACAGCCAATATCCTTTGAACTTAACTAAAATTTGTATTTATACATTATCAGCTGCTTCTTCATTAGCAACAGCTCTTTTTTCCATAGGTGAAACAAATCCACTACTCTAGGATGAATAATTTATACCTTGACTTTCAGGAGAACACCTGTGAAATATTTCAAAGACTGACAAATTTGACAGCCCAAAAATCAATATCCCAGTATTATATCTCTATTGAACTTTGAAACCATTCATCAATGATATAATAAAAATACTGCACAGTGGTCTCCAGCTAATTATTAATAGAGTGCCAAATAAAAACATGATATGATACACCTTGAAGCATGTTGGAGGTGTAGAACTGAATTTTTTACAGTATAATTATCACTCGTAAGTATGTTCAAAGTTGACAAGTCCCCGAACAGCATGATCGATCGGTCATTGCTGCTACAGTATCACTATCAGAATCAGATCAACCATAAAAAGACTCATTTCACTTGGAACTAATGGAAGCAAAGCAAACACCACGTGCTTTTCTTTATAATTTGAAACTGCAACTTTGCCATGGAGGAAAAGACGTAAGAACAAAGCCTGAAACAGAATTGCACAATGAGGAAAGCCAGTAACAGGCCATGCCTGGGCAAGCTTAGCTCAAACTCAATGACCAATCCACCACAAGACATCAGATGCGATGTGGTTCACTTTAGATACGTCCCTTTGAAATTTGGAAGCAAATTTGCATATGTGAGGTTTTGTTTTGAAATCAGGCACTCGTCAAAACAATGAAATCGAAGCAACTGGCAATTTTCCACCGGTTTGGCAATTTTTATCAAATTTTGGGTTTTGGCTCAACACCTATGGCCACTGAAAAAACAATTCGGCATGGATTTTACTGAAAAACATTGATTAAAGGCACAAGAAATGTAAATTTTCTGTTTCCATTGACTCTCAAGCTATAACTTTGGCAGCCATTTTCTCGATAATTTTACCCCTGAAACCAGGCGACCCCCACATCCTTCAATCACAAATTTATGACTTTTATTCCAGATAGATGGGTATTTCTTTCATTAAAAGTGAGACAAATGAAATAACTTTAAAAGTCCATATTATCAATAACTCTACATGCCCAAAAATGGATGAGTACCTGATTCCAACGCGTCATGACACATGCTTTCCTTGTCACTCGAGCTGAGGCGGCTATAAGCCTGAGACCACCGAGTTACAAACAGTACCATGATTATCATATATCATCCTAATCAGTGTATCCCCACTGCTGAGGATGCTTAATTATTACAGAGAACATTTTTTGCAAGATTTTGACTTACATTGTTTCCACAGCTACTTTTTCCAACAAAATTAAAAGAAAATCTTTTAACACATAAATTTTTGTTCACGGCGGTTTTGAATCACCAGTGTTGGTACAGATATAGGCCCTTAATTTTGAACAAAGAAGTTCAATTCTCTTGTATTAGAGTAAGCCCATTCTTTGGCAGGGAAAAGAAGCCCAGTTTTTAAACTCCTTCGAGACACAGCGGACCTATACATCCGATAGCCTTGAGCTATGTTGGAGACGCATCGTCCGATAGCATTTCTCGCCTGTTGTGGCAGCACAAATGAAGATATTCCAGTGAAGAAACTTTTGTTTGACATCGCTAAACCCTGTTTATTTTGTATTTTACCCTTGGACGTAGAGCGTTTAAAAAAATTATCCCATGGCGATTTGTGAAGGCAGTCGAGGCAACAAAGAACGAGGATCTTCGAGGAGTACCATACAAAGAAGAACTAACTATTCACAGTGACTGGAACTGTTTTTTCACAGTATTTGGACTATAAATTGTGTTGTGATGTGTTTTTAGCTGCATTATAATAAATTATGCGGTAACTTTATCTCGTTTGTTTCTGCATTTCTTCACTATCAACCTGCTAGGGAAAAAAATTGTTTTGGTCTCATACACCATTTTTGTAGGGGTCTTGGCAAGTTTAGGAATATATCCAGGCAAATTGGATTAGATCTAAGGCAAAGTCCAAATGTTGAATGTGTAGATAGTGAAAACAAACTTTTAAAATATCAAAAGGGGAAAAAATGACAGACTTTCAAAGTTGACCGAAAATCGTGCGTCTCTGGGCGCAAAGCTGGCCCAAAACCTGTATTCTGAATGAGTTATTAAAAGCCATCCAAATTGACATAACATAAATGGAGGTGTAATTCAATTACAATCAACAGATGATGGTTTGAATCAATGGACCATTCCGGACAAAAAATATTAAATGGGAATTAGGACTTCCGTACCGAGCGACCACCCCAAACAAACACAATAAAGAAGAGACCTAACCCTAACCAAACTCCTATCCCTTCCCCTAGCCCTCTATTCTACACTGTCTCATATAGAGGTCGCTCGTTACGGATCAGAAGTCCTCCCATTAAATGTGCGAACTTCAGCTTGAAGCCTAAGACTGTTAAAGCAAAAAAAAACTCAATCCTACGCAGGGGCGAAGGCTGACTTGTTTGACAGGGTAATCAAAGTGAAACAGGACAAGATATGGCCTGTAGATATCACACAAGAATCTTACTCGAAGCGGCGACTCTGAGTTGTGAATGAAAACAAATTCGGAATTCATATTGTATGTTCAACCGCCAAAATAATCGGGAAATTATTTTATTAAATATCAGTTCCAACTAAAATTAAATTTAACTTTAGATGTGAATACACAAACACAAAGCAAAGCAGCAGAGATGTCAGTACTAGATCTATAAGTTATAGATTTACCAGTGAGTGAGTCTAACTCTTTGGTAGAACATGACAATTATCATTTTTAAAATTTCACATTTTGGCTGTTTTTGTTAGCCTTTCGCGGCCAGGAGCTGGTGTCATAATCGAGGTCACGATCTGATTATAGGACGGTAAAAAGTCGAGCAGTCAAGAGATTATTAGGAGTTAGTTCCCCTCACATTTGTGAGGTAGACTCGACCAGTGTAATAGTTAGCTTACATATTCAGGGCTTGCGATTGATAATAACTGTGGCCCCAAAGGGGTGAACAGGGTATATGTGGCAATGAAACAGTTTAGACTGCTATGCACATGTTCCCTTCAACTCTATTGGTAGACTCTTCCAGCCTACTAAATCAAAGCTTGCGACTGCTTATGGAGTGGCCCGAGAGGCTATTTCTGTGGCCGTGAAACCGTTTTTAATGTTAGGCATACTGTTCATTGTTGATTACGAACGTCTTTTTACATTTAATTCAAGAGATTTACGTTTATGGATGAATTTGACAGCGACAATGTTTCAAAATTAGGAAGGGAAGCAGTGATTATTTGATTGTATAGACGCTTCGCCCCTGATCCTACGTCCTGCGATCATTTCTTTCCTCTTCAAGAACGTTTCTTTTGCGCGTATATAATGTCCATATAAACCCACGCCTACCACCACCGGCTCTCATAGTGGAAAAAAGTGACACATCTAAATGTACATTTGATGCTACATTATAACTTAGGCATATTAGATCTGGGAGGACTTCCGTATCGAGCGACCACTATGAGACAGAGCAGAATTGAGGGCTTGGGGTAGGGGTAGGGATAGGGGTAGGGGTAGGGTTAGGGGTAGGGGTAGGGGTAGGGTTAGGGTTAGGTCTGGGCCTCTTCTTTATTGTGTTTGATGGGGTGGTCGCTCGTTACGGAAGTCCTTCCTTAGATCTATAATAAATATTGAGGCGAAGACAATACAGGACCTATATTTCTAGATCTACAACCAAACAAAGACCAAGTATTGGAGAATTTTGGTACAAACTACAGTAACTACCCTTAATTTTTAGTCTTTTTCTAGATTTCTCTAGAGTCTAGAGATAAAGCTCTTCTACTTATACAGACTACTAATGTAGATCTAGAATCTAGATCTAGATCTACTTCTTACTGCTGCGCCAGTCGACATGATCCCAAATTGTTTACTCAATCTAGCCTATCAACCACTGGCCCTGCTATACTATCATAATATTACTAATCTAGATTCTAGATCTATATATCTAGATCTAGATCTAGATCTAGATCTATGACAATGGCATGAGTGATAGCAGTTACAAACAGTGACTGTAATTTTGACCAGGCCCAGCTGCCTTCCCTCGAGTCGAGACAATCGCCTCTATTAAAATCTTAAAATGGCAAAAGAAGCACATTCATTTGAACATGAAAGAAGGAATGTAAGTAGTCACCAATACTTACCGTAGCGAAGCAAACTTTGGCGGATCCAGCTGGCTTTTTTTCGCCACTGCTCACAGTCACACGATAAAATGCACTCTTAGCAAAGGTCTGCGCTTTGCACTGCGGGAACTAGGGTGACGTCTCTCCTGACCAGCATCGTCCTTTCTCTCTTTCGTCAATAACAGCAGGTATTCCCAGGGAACTCTTCCGGTATACATAAATTATCGGCCTTGAACTTGACCTAATCGGGACACTGTCATATGACGATGAGGGTTTCCCCGTTTCCCCGTCGTTCATTGGTGTATCAGAAGTATACATACATACATACATACATACATACATATATATATATATTACCGGCAGAGCTTTTCACCAAGCCCAAAGGCAGTGCTTTCGGAAGGACTCCCGTGTTTTCTTCTAAGTCAAAAGAAAGAACACTTTAAATCTACTTGGAGCCCAAATGGTGTCTATACAGAAAAGTCCACATTTTATTTTTCGTCGGTAGGAGGTATAGGACAACTGATATTTTTTATGTGTTTTATTCGGGTGTTTTATTCCTTCACCCTCGCAAACTCCGTCATGAGTTTTCAGTTTAAAAACCTCTGTTATGTCTGGTTTTTCATTCCCATCAAAAGTAGACCTAGTATTTATGTATTATATGTCGATTTATTTATTTGTTTGGTTGTTTGTTTGTTTTTTAGTTTTGATAACACAAAACGAAACCAAGACAAAAGGTAAAATGGACAAAAACGTAGCCTAGCCAATGTGCAACACACTTCACCAAGTCAAAAGCGAGGCGCTAAAAACGCTCCAAAAAAAGCCAGACAGGCCCTAGGCCTATATCTAAGAATAATAATGTTTTATTATTAATATGGGAAACAATATTAGACTGTTAGTAATAGTGGTAAGTCTTAGCGAAAATCTTCTTGTCTTTCTGTAAGTTTGCTGTTCTTTCCTCGGACTGGGAATCTGATAACTCTTGAAATTATGCATTAGCGTGCAACCATAAAGACATTGATCGACATCAAGTGTCTAGTCCGGACCATTGATAATTTATTTATAGAGGCGCCAGCTGGTAATTCCTTAATTTCAACGGGAGCTTTCACAACAATAGATTCTGGTGGACAGCTTTCGTGCCAAAAAAAGTATGTTCTAAGGGAGGCTACCCAAAATAAAAACCAAAATACACTCGACACAGTCTGGTTGCCTCCCGTTTTCTGGCGGTTCTCTCCTTTTTCCAATCAAAGCATTGATCTAGAAATGAATACAAAATTCGATAAACACGTTTACGCACACGCACGTACACACATACATACACGCGACCTTGCTCTGTTCTTACCTCTGTGCACAGCATCCCCCCCCCCTCCTTCCCCCTACGTGTAACTCCAAGTCAGTCTGGCAGGGGGTTCTCATGGTCAAAAGGTTAAGATATTCGCTTCTCATTCAATAGGTCCCGGGTTTGAATTCGGATAGCGACGGGAACATTCTCTTCTCATAAATTGTCTCCTTTCACCACATCCTTTCCTGCTCTCTAAAATGTTCTGTCGTCTGCTTTCGTCTCTCCTTTTTGTCCCCATCCCCTCACCTCCTCTGCCCCATCCTCTTGGCTCCTGACTCTTACTGCAGCCTTCCTACTGCTTCTCATTGGCTCCTAATTCTTACTGCTGTCTTTCAGCTGCACCCCTGATCGTATGCTAGGTAAGATCTACACATTGCCTTCTCTGACAAGGGTAAACAATCTTGGAGGTCACATGTGTAAGTTGCGCACCTTAATTAAAGATGCTTTGGTTGTCCAAAATCGATAAGAGTAGGCTTCGGCAGCCATCCGGGCACAATTCAACATTCACTACCAACTGAGAATGTTTGGTGTTTTCCGCGCGCTCATATTTGATCTTATGCACTTGTGAGTGCCGTAAAACACCTACAAAAAATCAGTCTGGCTCTAGTCCTTCACCTGGAGAACTGCTGCGTGAAAAAGGCGTATTTCCTTTCTTCCGGTCTGTCTTGCTTTCGTTTTCCAAAAGTGTTACCATGACTG